GGGGGGGGGGGGGGGGAATTGGGGTATGTGTGAGTAATGAGTATTTGGACCATAGTTGTGTATATATGCATTACATTTTGTAAGATATTGCAGTTTGAATAAATGGTTGAACCTCGAGATCGGTGTTTACTATGTTTTCCAGTTGTTTTGAACTTGTTGTCTCAACATGTTCTGGTTACCACTTATATCCAAATTGCATAAAGTTACAAACTATAGTAAATAGTAAAACACACCAACTTTTTGCAATGGCCGGCTCAGCTTTGGTTTGTAGGAAATGGAAGGATATAATCAAGTCTCCATCATTAAGTGGATTTATTTAGGTCCTTATTAGAGTGGTGGAAAACTCAGCATTTAGGTCGATCAAAGGTTAGGAGAAGTAAAACCAAAACCAAAAATAATTCAAACTGTAAAAGGAACGTTTATTGCATACTATGATACTAATAATATGGAATTGTAAAAATTCAAAAAAAAGTGAAAAACAATTTTCTAAGTTAAAATGGTATTTGAAAATTAGAGTTGTGTTTGGGCATGAATATAATTTTGGGTTGTTTTTGAAGTTTTATGAGTGATCTCAGTAAAAGTTTTGAAAAATAGTTTTTTGGGGTTTTTCAAATTCGAAAAATTCTAAAATTCATTTTCAAGTGAAAATTAAAAATTTTATGGCCAAACACTGATTTTGAAAAATAAATGAAAAATTTTCGGAGAAAAGTAAAAAAATTCTTATGTCCAAACGGGCTCTAATTTACTTCAGAATCTGGTCAAAAGCTTCAAGTATGTCACGTTGTTATTGAAATGCAAATTAATAAGTTGTTCTCTATCTCTTTTAATTGTTCAACTATAGTTAGCCTTCTTATTTCCATTTCTTCTAGTATAAGATTTATGCCTTGTTCAGAACTATTCTATTCAAATATCAAACTATTTATCTTTTGAATAAACTAGGGATCGAAAATGTCTGAATCTCACTGCACAAAAGTAAAGTGTCTTATCATAACCAAAAAAAAAAAATTATAACAAAATAAAATATTCTTTTCCTTTCTTGACATAAAGTTAAAGAAAAAATATAACTTTGAAACATATGATACTAAAAGTTTTGTCGGGCCATAATATTTGTGTGATTATAAAAATTCTGATAAAATAGGTAAAAAGGAAAAATTCAAAATTAAATTATTTCTAAATTTTGGAACAAAGTATTAAGGAAATTAAATCATTTAAATTGAAAAGGGAAGAATACCTAATAAAAGCACAATGATAAAAGTTTAAGCTCTTTCAGGCATTCGTTCTTTGTTTCTTGTTTTTAATGACAACATAGTAATTGACGACTATTCTACTTGGGAAATTTGAATCCTTCCACCAGTATAGGTATGAAGTAATTAATTTGGTCAGGTATAAACATAAGGAATAAAATAACCTAATTTTTGTCTACATTATAATTGGAATCTTAATTTCTCATGAATTCTTTCTGTTTTTATGTGTAAATTACTTTACATTAATCTCAAGTTCAAATCTCTTCGGAGAGAAAAATGCAAATAACTTCTTCTTTGGCGGACAAAAGTTACCCGGATGACATAATTATATAATTTTTTTTTAATTATTATCAGATTATAATTCTAAATCGAAAGTCAAAATAGAAAATAAAATAAAGAAGCAAACCGACAATTATAGAATCCAAAAGGGGAGACAAAAGTTTAAAAAAAAAAAAAAAGGAAATGAGATTGTGATTCAGGTGTATATAAATGTCAGCAATATTTATTTGATCAACCATTGAAGTCTCCGTCTCTCCACTATGCTCCATGAACACCTCATAACAATGGAGAATTCCTCAGCTCCATCTCCATTGCAAAACCCTAGCTCCAGATTCAAACTTTCCATATTTACAACAACCCCATCACCCAAATTCCAATTTAGTCCTCTTCTTCTTCTACTCCTTCTTCTCCTTTCCCTTAATTCCTCCCTTGGAGTTTCCGAACTCCCTCAGATCCCATACTCACCATACTGTAACGACGTCGTTTCCAGCACCCCTTTAAGCCAAGCTTCAACCCCTTTTAACGCTACCCCAATTTTCCTCAGTCTTCGCAACGCGTACGTCCACGTGCCGTTTGAAAATGCCGGAAAATTCAAGCCAAAAACCCTAAATTTCTACACCCAAAACGTTTATCCGACCCAAAATGGTAAAATATTTAAACTTGAAGGTGTTTTGAGGTTCGCAGGAAGTGTTGGTCCTGAGTTTTTTGGTGATTTTGTACACCGGCGGCAACTCCGGCTAGTTTATAACCGGCCACCTAGGTTTCCTACCAGAGGTGGCGGCGGGTATTCGAGAGAGTTTCGCGTTTCGGGTTTCTGGGATTCTAGTACTGGGAAGCTTTGTATGGTGGGATCAGGTATGAGGAAGTTAAGTTCTGTTGATGTTGTTCTTAAGTTGGTTTATTTGAATTCTTCTGATATTTTGCATAGTGTTGTTAATGGTACATTGGAAAGAATTGATGTGAATGATAAAAATGCATATACTAAGCCTGTTGAAATACTTGGTTTGTCTTTGAGAAATTATATGTATACTTTGATTAATAAAGAAGTTGAGAATCATGGGTTTAGTGAATATGGTGATTGGTCTAATGTTTCGTTGGGAATAGAAAACCCAGATAGGAGCGTGTGCTCAGTGATAAGTCGTGCTGGGACTATGGAAATGATGTATTTGGGTAATTGTAGTAATGGGAATTGTGATTTTCTTGGTGGTAATGTGTCAATCTTTAGGCCGATGACGATATGGTTTAATGAGATTGAGTGCGGGGATAATGGGAGAGGGAGATTCTTGTTAAGCTTTGGTGATGGTGTGCGCACTCGGCCAACTTATTTGATAAATCAAACATTGGTTGCTGAAGGGAAGTGGGATGAGAAGACGAAAACAGTTGACATGATTGGTTGCCGGATTTTCAATGGAAGTGATGCAGCAGCTGAAAAGGGTTTTGTTGGGGATTGTGTTGTGAGGCTGAGTTTGAGGTTGCCTAAGCAATGGACCTTGAAGGAGAGGAGTGTTGTTGTTGGGGAGATTTGGATAAGAAAAGACTCAAATGAAAAAGGTAATTACGGTAAAGCTGCCTTGCACAGTCTAAGAAATCTGGTTAACAGGCTTGATGGATTGACATATGAGTATACTGTGATTGATAATGTGACGAGGTCTTGTGCCAAGGCAATGAGTTATAAAGGCAAGGGAGGGAAGTATCCCGATGTTCATTCATCTGATATGCGATTTGATATGATGGTGAGGAATAAGAAAAAAACAGAAATTTTCAGTTATTCAGCGCCATTGTCTGTGGGGGATAAGTTTTACCGGGGTGCATCTGATTCTTCTGTTAAATTGAATGACAATCAAAGTACTGTGGTCAATGTAAGCTATGTGCTTCACTTTTTTGCTCCACCTCAGTTCTTGTACATTGATGATCATACTCCTATGACAATTGAAATTTCTGCTGAAGGTTTATATGATTCGAGGAGTGGACATCTTTGCATGGTTGGTTGTATGTATTTTTCATCACGTCAAGGGATTTCACTGAAAAATTCATCGTTAGACTGTGAAATTCTAGTTAACATTCAGTACCCATCTTTGAACGCTAAAGTCCGCACAGGTGTTAGAGGTACCATTGAGAGCATGAGAAAAAAGTCTGATCCTCTTTACTTTGAACCTCTGGAACTTATATCAAATTCGATCTACACTGACCAAGCCAGAAATTCCATATGGAGAATGGATCTGGAAATGACCATGGTTCTAATTTCCAACACACTTGCATGCATCTTTGTGGGTCTGCAGCTATTTTATGTGAAAAAAAACCCAAGTGTGCTTCCGTTTATCTCTGTTGTCATGATAGTTGTACTCACATTGGCACACATGATCCCTCTGTTGCTAAACTTTGAAGCTTTATTTTTGGTCAACCGGAAAAAGCGGAATGTTTACTTTGGTAATGATGGATGGGTTGAAGTAAACGAGATTTTAATTAGAATCATGACGATGATAGCATTCTTGTTGGAATTCCGTCTTCTCCAACTCATATGGTCTGCAAGAGCAGGTGATGAGAGCCTAAAAAATTCCTGGATATCTGATAAAAAGGTTCTGTATTTGTCTTTGCCAATGTATATTTGTGGTGGATTGATTGCTTACTTTCTCCATCTGTCAAGAAATCCTCATCAGATGAAGCTTGAATATTCTCTTCATTTTCGTTACCAACAGCAAACTTTGTGGGGGGAGCTCAAAACATATGCCGGTTTGATCTTGGATGGATTCTTGCTTCCTCAGATTCTGTTCAATTTGTTCTGTAACAACGCTGAGAAGGCTCTCACCCCTGGTTTCTATATAGGAACCACCCTTGTGCGCCTAATGCCACATGTATATGATCTTTACAGAGCTCACGGCAATGCCTGGTCATTTGATTACATATATGGAAACCCAAAAATGGATTACTATTCCACTGCTTGGGACATCATTATATGTTGTGGGGGTCTGCTGCTTGCAATTCTCACTTTCTTGCAGCAGAGATTTGGGGGCCGTTGTTTTCTTCCCAGGAGATATAGAGATAGTTCCACATATGAGAAAATATCTGTAGTCAGCACTGAGTCAGTTACGGAAGAATAAACTGTCAGTAGAAATTTTATCCTTGATTTTTGAAGAAACTTTTAGTTCTCCTGTCATGAGCTTCATTAGCTTCCGATACTTACATTGTATGTCAAAGATTGTATAGCTGAAGTATCTAATTTCAAGCCTGTTAAGGAATGATTCATCTGGCAGAGACTCTCTAAGTATCTATAGTTTGGTAGTTGAACTCTTCTTTCAGACACTATTGTTACTGAACTGGCTAGCATGCAAAATTTTGCTTACCAATCACTGTGAATATTTTCAATCTAAGTGGGACTTGTATCTGTTTCAGCTTTCTAGATGCATTGACAGGTTTCTGCAGTACTCTCTGCACTCCTGTTTTCCCCAAAATTATAAGTTGTAAAGTACTGGCATTTCATTAAGAAAAGTTTTTAACTGGCAAGTTTTACCACATAGCCGGATTAAACTGAATTAGTCAGCTATTTTTGCAAGAGATTAGATTTTCTAAGTATATAGATACTTCATTTGGGGTTGGGAAGGAGAAAGATGTGTTTGATGGGTTGGTCGCTAAAAAATTGTAAGTGTAAGAGTGAAGATTTTACTCCATTTTAAGAAATAGCATCCAAGTTTTGTCTCTGAGGATGTATGAAAATTCGACTTAAGGTCTGGTTTTTGCAGAAGTGAGAAATTTTATCCAATGCCTCGCACAACACAAACAATGAAGTCTAAGTTAGGCGCACATCACAGATTCGAACTCTAATTAATTATTTGAATTGGGAGGCGGGTAAGCGGCTTATGTTTCCCGGGGATTTGACCAAATTTGAGTTCCTACATCTCACTTGGGTTTCTTGGCTATTCTCTCATGTATACTGCTCTTACTTTCCTATGATTTTGCTACCAAACTAACATCTGATGTCATAACTTTGGCTCCAAAAGAGGGTTTCTATGATACGTTCAATGTCTCTTTACTACTGAATTTTGATCAATTCTAGTAAGAAAATAAACTTAACTAAACTCATCTGAATTAGGGAACATTTTAAAAGTGATACCACTGGCCAATTATTCAGAGAGCCAAATACATTTACAATTTAAGGCGACAAGCAAAGTGCCTTTTAGTAGTCTTGCTCACTGACTGAATATGAGTTACATCTGTCAAGAAATTAACCCCCAAAAAATACATTAAATAGAGCTAGAAGTGAGCAATTTCCTTTTGCAAGCTCAGTAGCCAAACCGTAGTTGGTGTAAGTTCCACTGTCGTCCATTAGCTCACCAGAAATACGCAAATACAGTGTCATAATCAGAATAGACTACACCATTTACATGTGGCCATTATGTACAGAATTACAAAAAATTGGAAACATGATAGATCTAACCATGATTCCTGAACCTAACCATACTAAGACTAGGAAGAAGAAAAGACCCAACTGTTCCACATCGCTTAGTAAAACCGCTGCAAGCCTGCAATGTCATAAGTGAAAATTGAATTACATCAGGCTTCATTATACCTTGCAATTTACAAAGACAGAATGGTAAATATATATTGCACGCGAAAGAGAGATCCTTCATGGTTGTTGGTGTCCAACGGTAAAGAGGAGTCGAATGTGCAAAATTTCGGGCAGGTGTGCTGTCCTTCACATGTAGATCAAACCTTACCCCTACCCTGCAAGTCCAACGAATTATAACAAGTGGGGTCCGGAGAAGGTAGTGTGTACGCACACCTTACCCCTACCCTAGGGGGGCAGAGAGGCTGTTTCCAATAGATGAGGCTAACAAAAAGATGAAACTAAAGAAAAGATTAAAGAGATGGTAGTATAGCACAGACTTTAAGAAAGAGTGAAAGGTGGAAAATTTAGGTCTCGAGATGTTTCAACTTTCAAAGTTTGTAGTTTCAGGTAGCAAATGACCAACAAAATGGTTCATCGAAAACGCATGACTACAAGGGGAAACCAGAAACCTAAATAAGTAACTCTGTCTACAGATTTGTTGTATAGGTAAAGGTGGGTTACTAGTGTTGATTTCATCTGATATAGATGAATTAATAAAGATTTAGGCACATTCCAATCCTATAGCAACATATGAGGATGTAACCAATTGATAAGACTCTGTTTCATTGTCAGCTTTCAATAGTTTGAATCATCTACTCAAAGCTTTCGAGTCTGTTTATTTGATATTTTGCCCAAGAGAATATAGTGCAGAGGGAGAGGATCTACAGTCAAGACTCGATTTTTTAATCATGTTATAAGCCAAGGGAAGCGGAATTGCAAGAGTCGAGATATTCTCCATTGAGTTGGAAACGGTATAAAAGACAGGTTCAGAAATGGTCAGACTAGCAGTCAGAACTAACGGCGGGCAGATATTCTCTGAAACAAAGATTGTACCATGTTCGTACAAAAGCATTTGGAAATACAAGTCTGAAAAGAGGGTAGAACAGTAAATTAAGTAGCACCCTCGAGCTTTCTAGTTAACTGAGAGGTTGTTGAGTATCATGATGGCAAAGTTGCTAACTGGTAATGACATTATCATCAAGCAAAGAATGACTTGAACATTAGGAGGTGCGCGGTCACAGCATCTAAGCTTTTAGCCGTCAAAAGTAGAAATGTTGACATCCTCCTTCCCAGCCAAGCAAACAATATAAACTCAAAATTAAATAAAGCAGAAATCACAATGTTGTAAGTAGCAAGGAGAATACAAAAAAGTAGTATTAACCTCGTCGACTTGGTAGACTGAAGGGTGAGAAGTTACCCAGACTGAGTAGAAGGCACAAAATCAAATTCCCCATCCAAGCTCCAACAAAAAATAAAGCCACTTATTTGGAATCGCGGCCTATATAATCAAGAAAAGAGATGCATATGCCTCTGAAATTATTAACTTGTTCCTGCAATCAACAGAAAAGTTAACTAAAACAAGCATGATTATTGAACATCATAATCTCAATCATTAAGAGATATAAGAAAAACAACACATATAATATCTTTGATAGTATGACCAGTTATTCAGGTGGACCAAAAGATTTTATTGATGTACTTAGCCAGAACTGAGGATGTGCTGCACCCGGACATTTACAAAAAGGAAAAACTCAGCTCCTGATCTGTAAGAAGCTGAGGAATTCCGGCATTTGCTCCACTTTGTGGACATCATCTATTTTGCACCAAAAAGCTTAATTTGTATAATGCTTTTAACCCACATCAAGTTTATAGATTAAGATATCTATCTTTAGACCCCGAACCATACCCCAATGCCCCGACCTCCCATCCCTTCTCTCTATCACAGTTTCTCTTTTCTTTCTTTTTTTTTTCTTTCTTTGATAATGAGAAATCGCCAAGAGCCAGGTAGTGCAGGATTTGAATCTTGGTGGATAATGGGCCCGCATCTCTGCCCTTCTCCACTTAAATAATAGGATTCGAACTTCTGATGTTGGGTTCTTATCACTAGACCAAAGTCCTGGGGGGCTCTATCTTAGTCTTTCTTTTCTTTTTTTATGTGACAAGGATTAAATTCTTGAGTGGTCTTCCAACAAGCGAGGATAATTACTCTACGAATATTTTTTTTTTAAAGGAATACTCTAAGATTAAAGTGACACCATATTATAAATTTTCCTGCTCAATACTGTTTTCAATGCAAGTAATAATTTTAGGCCATCTCATAAAAGCTGAGGATGGGAGAGGGGGCGGATTCATAAACATGATAATAGATGTTAGAAACATCAACATTTTGCTTTATTACTAACAGCAGAAAAACATGTCAGGGCAAGCCTTGTTATTCAAAATCAAAGAGAAAGAAGTGTGATGAAAAGTTTAAAAGAAAGATGATAAAGTGAAATGTGAAAATAGCAAAAGTGTTTCTGATATAAAAACCTTCCCTATATAAAAAAAAAAAAGCATAAGTGTTTTTGATATTTATTACTTTATTAGACGGATTTTTTTATCACCTTACTATCTTGTTATCTTTATTCTGCTTTTATATGGCTTTTGGTGATGTCCCTTCTTGTCTATATTTTCATTAATGTCTTGATAGCCTCAATAACATTCATCTTAGCCTGTTACGCTAGAAATGACATTTAAAACCAGCAGATGTAAAGGTTGCAAATCTGTTCTCAATAAATCTGCTTCTACATCAGCACTATCAAACAACTGTTCATTTCTCCAGGGTTAGCCTATTTATGGCCAGGAAAGCAAAGCATATTAATCAGTCTAAAACAGCCAGACAAACTATGTGACAAAATGTCAAAAGTAAGAACATTCCGGTTTTTTCGTTTCTTTTTTTTTTAAGTAATTCAATAAGTTCCGTCATGTGTATGAACTCGTTTACGTAGATGCATTCATGTTGCTGACCTCATGAACAACAGGGCAGTCAATCCTTCTCAAACAAAAAGATTATCTTATCTCAGAAAGGCTAGATAAAGTGTCACCTTTGTACTTAGCACAGATTTAACTGACTTAAATTTTATCTAGCTACCTTCGAACTTAGAGAAGGTTAATTGAATCAGAGCACTATAAATTTGGACAAGAAACTACAAGTCTAAAAAATACTAGCAGCTATACATAGCATGTGAATTTAAACCTGATAGACTAAAGTACACTTCCAATCATCATGATAAATAGAAAACTCAACTACCTATGTAAGTTAGAGAATCACCTCAAATTATGTATCTTTGCCTGTGAGGATACGAGAAATCTGAAGGCCCCTGCTGAAAGCTTCATTAAATAATATTCTTGTCTGCATGGATTGAAATCCAGGCATCCATGATAGAAATGCCAGAGGAGCCATAACAATTAACCCAAGCATCATATCATATAGCCGAGCCAAGGACACAACAGTGCTCCAAACCAAAGTAAACTGCAAAAAGGGCCGGAGCACTAGGGCAATTTGGATTAAGCCCCATCCAGTTGGAATAAAAGCCAACAAACTTGTGATGAAGTCAAGCAGCGTAAACTTGGTTAACCTCAACAGTAGAACAATCACCAGCGTAGTGAGCAGAATGACAAGCAACTGCACCAGTCGATAATATATGTGCTCCTTCATCGAATATTTGTCTTTTGCATATGCAATGGCAATGTAAATTGCCACAACAGCGACCATAATAATCCAAGACAGCAAGTAAACACCAATACTAGTGTTACCACCAGCAATGTGTAATTGATAAACAATTCCATATTGAAAGAAGAAGAAACGAAGATCCATAATAATCTCAAGCAACTTTCCCCAGAGACCGGTAGTTCTCAGGTGGTCCTGTTCTTCATACCACCATGTCTCCCAACTTTGATCCGCTTTTACAAAAACTCCCCTATTGTACCAAATCCAATGCATGAAATCATCAAAGTCATACACTGTTCTTAACCAGTCAAACCCAGAGGGATTGAACAAAAACGGAGATGTTATCCATGACAGTACAAGGAACCAACTTGATATAGTCATAGCTATATACACAAAGGTGTCCTTAGTCAAGGGGCTATGTGAAGCATACACAATGAGGATCACTCCAAGTTCGATTGCCTTGACAAAGTGGCTGCGAGCATAGAGCCGATAGTTCTCAGCAAAGCACTTGCGCTGCACAACAAAACCTCGCCCAGTTGCACGGTACTTCGCTCCCCCATGCAGAATGGTCCTACCAAAGAAATGTGCACGGGTTCCCATTGAGTATGTGAAAAATAGTGAGGCAAGTTGCAGTTGCATAGTTACAAAATCCCAAACTGCCGGAAGGAAGCCATGCTCCAAAGAGTTCTCCACAATCATAGGGAGGGCAGTGAACACACCAAGCTGGATAACAAACTGCTGATTCAAAATTGCACCAAGTGCTTTGTTGCTGCTGGCATTTCTGCTGGCGTACTCCTCAACACCACTGAGTGCAAGATACAGTCTCCCCCACAAGAACATGTACACCATTACTACCACTNTGAGGATCACTCCAAGTTCGATTGCCTTGACAAAGTGGCTGCGAGCATAGAGCCGATAGTTCTCAGCAAAGCACTTGCGCTGCACAACAAAACCTCGCCCAGTTGCACGGTACTTCGCTCCCCCATGCAGAATGGTCCTACCAAAGAAATGTGCACGGGTTCCCATTGAGTATGTGAAAAATAGTGAGGCAAGCTGCAGTTGCATAGTTACAAAATCCCAGACTGCCGGAAGGAAGCCATGCTCCAAAGAGTTCTCCACAATCATAGGGAGGGCAGTGAACACA